ATAGAATGTAATGCCAGAATGACTCATTGTTTAATGAATAAGGCCCTAAGTGTTCTATTGATGCCATTTATAAATTTGTATAAAATGTATAGAATTCATGTCATAACTGGAATTCCAAGCACAGCAACCTTGTGAGCTAAATTATGATGATGATAGGGTACTGCACAAATTAATATGAATTCTAACAGGCTTCTGCTTGAAAAATGCTCAGACAGTTAAAAATAAGACAATTTCATTACAGATTGAAAGCCCAGACCTCAGAAATGCTGCTACTCTCTCCTTTGGAAATGGTAAATTACTGAAGAAGGAAGTTCTTTTGTGTGTGTGTGTGTGTGTGTTAAGAGTCAAAAAGTATAACCTATACAGGAAAACAGATGTCCTTTAATTAGATGTAGATATCAATTACAACGCAGACCACAACTGGAAAATGAAAGAATTAGCTGGTAGAGACCAGCGTAATATCTGGAACTCTTGTATTGAAAATGAGTAGTCTGAGGGCAGAGCAGAGATGTGAACACACATCTTTGACTAACTTTTCCCTTCTCGTTCTTACTTTTCCCTTCTCATAGCTTGGTGGATTAGACAGGAAACCAGGTGAAGTTCAGCATTTCCAGCATGAGTTTTGGAGATAGGTTCTCTATCCAGTCAGATTTCAGCCAGAGACAAACTCGCATAGGAGTGGTGTTGGCTTTAACCTTGTGAGGAAAGGTTTCAGTCTAAACAGGAGCAGAAAGGAAATCTGACATCTGGAAATTTCCCATAGCAGAGGAAGATCCAAAAAGCTTTATTTGGGAACACCCACCCCCTTTCTTTCTTCCTTTCAACAAGACAAGACTTCTACTTGCCCTGACTCTGCCGATGCTCCAGGCGGTCCCAGTTGCATATGCTTAGATTTATATATTCAAAATATAAAATGTATTCTCCCTGAGCAAATCATTTTTTTACATGCAATAGGGTGAAATTAGCCTCTTTGCGCAATGTCATGGCCCTGTTTCTTGGTTAAATAAGAATCAGGTTTCTGGGGCAGATATGGAAAGAAATTGAATTGCTGCATTCCATGTTACATGCAGAGACTTCTCTTTACCAGCACCTCTCCCTGCTTCCTTCTCGAACTTGTAGAAGACAGCTTCCTGCCCAGTTAGGTCATCCACGACTGTGAGGTCTACTGCAAATGAAATACCACTGGCTAGATATACTCCAGGCAATAACTTCCTTCAAAGATGGGAAGAAGCTGCTGCTGCTCCTAAGGCTGAAGCCACTTACTTATGGGGAAAGAGCTGTCATCCCGCAGGCAGGGGCTGCACCAGTGGCTGGAGCCATTCTCTGCCTCCTACCAGCCCCTTCTAATGTGCAAGCCCACCACACTCAAGACCCCATCCAGAGGTACTGTTCAAGAGCAGTATAGCTACAGCCACTATAGAGTCCTTGATTTCTGTTTTCTGTCTACATTGTTGTAGGTTCCCACATTTAGGTAGCCAAACTCCTGCCCCAGAGAAGCATATTTGTTGGTGCAGGGTTTTCCCTTGCCCCTCCTGGGTCTGCTTCACATGTGCTGCCATTTTTCCTCACACCCGTTGCCAAGGTCTGATGACAAGGCTGTGATTTCTCTAAGCTTCTCTTTGTTACAGGTGTGACACACAGCTCGTAGGGTTTCATTAGGGCTTTCATAATGTATTAAGGAAATGTCAGGATCGAGTAATTTATAATTAACAGTGACATGTAAATGTCATGTCTAACAATTGTAGTGTAAGAGTATTGTTTTGTGAATGGGCCATTTTTTACACATGCAACTGTCAATGTCCAAAAAAGCCATCACCAGTCAGGCAAATGGCTGGTAAAGACAGATATTTTTTTCCCCTTTTGTTTACTCCTCACTGAATTCTTGATAGGCATCTAGACCTTGCTGCCTGTTGTTCCTAGATCCAGTACATACAAAGCTCAAGCCATGATTGGAAGCATTTATGAACATTTTAGAGCTTGATCCTAATATAAACGCATATGGATAAATCCCTGCGCAATGCTGATGTGGAATTCATATGAGCACTGTCTGTTTGAATTTTCAGTATGAATGTGGAGCTGGTCTCCACCATGCAAGAGCATGTCATGCATGATGCTCTAGCTATCAGTGGCTGCTCTGGGATGTGATGAGCTTAGGTATGGTGCTGCACTAGCAACATCCACATGGGTACTGACCGGAGATCTGTGGTTGCAGCAGCTCAGGTTGGTGCTGGTTTTGGTGTCACTACAGTCAATCCCCTGAAGAGCGTAGGCAGACCCCTCTTATTCCTTAGCTTGAAGTTTAAAGAATTGTAAATAGCAGGTCAAAACCATGCCCAGATTAATGCCACTGATGTGGGTTTATTTTCAAGTTTGTTTTTCTTGTGTTTGAAGTGGCCTCTCATCTCTTCTGATGAGGAACAGCAGTTGTGGCATGAGGGCGGTTTGCAGTAGCGCTGTTTGCAGTCTGTCAGATGCCACAGCTTCCCCTTGGCTTTCTACTTCCTTTCATAAATGAGGTTGTTAGATTTGAAGGGCAGGATTTACAAAAAAAGAGGAAGAGAAGGAAAAGCAGGAAGGAAATGGGAAAGGAAGAAGGCGAGACTCGATTGCTCTCTGCTACACATCTTGTGGTTTGAGTTGGTTTTGGAAATTGCCCTTCCACAAGCTTTTGAAATGTGAAAGGGGAACTTCTTTTATAAGAGCCCTAAGATATTTCGGTCACGTGTTTCCCTTCATTTGTATGTGAGAATAGTTCTTGAATGAGAAGTTAAACAGCGTGGGTCTTAGTGGAAAAACTAAAATCAGTGTCCACTACTTAGTATGTCAGCAATGATGTAGCTAGACTGCTGAATCATGTCATGAATCACGTAGGGTTCTAGGATGGAAGTCACTGGTCTGCAGTCTGTAACTTTAGTGCTGTAATAAATCCACAAGTGTCCTTCTGCAGGTGGCTGCACTGCCTAAAGTGACTACTTGGGACTCTGTGGCTATGATTCTATGACTAAAGAACTGTCATCTCCCCCTTCTTCAGTAGAAGAGGAGGATATCCATACTCTGCTGGTGGAATCACTAGTGAAAGGGGTTCTACAATGCTCTGCTTATATTCCAGTAGAGGGGCATTTTTTAATTGCCGATTCTCAGAGAATCATGTCATTTGGTCATCTTGGAATCTGTAAGTTAGCTTCCAGACAAGCTCCAGGCACTGGGATTCAAGCCTATCTGTAACAGCATTGCTCAAACAGTGCCTTGAGACTCATAGAGGCAGTGAATTCTGATACAGCTCTTCATGTTTTTGTTTGCTTCTTGTATGACACAGGCTGCCACCTCAACAGTCATTTGCTAATGATGAGGATAAAATGGATCTCTCCTTTGCCTGGATAGCAGAGGGAGGTTTAAAACCTCCACTTGGGAAGTTCAAGGTTTGTAAAGCAGCTCCCTTACTTGTTGTGAAGCCCTTGGTCTGCCTCACGCCACATTGCATTACAGATTAAGGCAGGCTTCGCATTATATATTAACACAGATTTGTCCTCAGATACCCTACTGTGGAGAAGGCCATTTTTAAATCTTTAATAGGGCATTGGAGCAATTTGCTTGTGATTTAGTTTTAAGTGGGCAAGAGGAGTGGTGACAAATGAAGCTGGGAGGCCCTAAAATTCTTTGAATAGTCCATGTTTTCCTGGAACTGTTGGGAAAAGGCTGCCAGAAAGGTCTTGGCAGGTTTTTTAGGTGGCTGGCCAAGTCTGAAGCAAATGCGGATAGTTAATAGGCTAAAGCAGCTCTGGTTCCAAGTCCATACATATATATAACATACGTTTTTATTTAAGAAATCCCACCACACGGAGGAGCAAATGTAGTGCTGATATATCTTCCTGAAGGAAAACAGCACAGGAAAAAACACTGTCATCTTGTAACGATCAAATCAAGATCTTACTTTTTAGGCACTTGAATTGTCAGCTGAAGAAGAGAAGAAATAGGAAATGAAATCAGTAGACAGGCAGTGGCTTTCCCATGAGGGCCCCATATTAATCAGGAATGGCTTATATAGCAATAGTTTGCATCTGAGAAAAAAGGCAGAAGTTGTTCAAAGAATGGATTTCCGTTCCTAGATTGACTTTGTGTTGTTGCCATGCAAGTAATTAAAAATAGTAATTAAGCAGGAAAGCGATCAAGTAATAACCTGGGACCTGCCGCTGCAGTTGCTTCCATGCGGACAGTCCATTCTGGCATGAAGCAGGAGTCTGCCTCTGCGGGTCTTAATTGTAAGAATTAAGTGCTGCTACTGAATTATCTCAGGTATAGGCTCATTCGGGAGGTGTTTCTCTGTGCACCAGGGTCAGAATCACGGTTCTCTGTGGCCACAGGCACCTATGGAATAGGTGTTTACTGTGAGTTGTTCCGGGGATATGTGAGTCCAGATTTCACCGAGACACCAGGTGAATTACCTTTGTAATTATAAAGTTGTCTTCACTGCAAGGGATTCTTGTTTGAATTCAGTTCCTGGGGCCTGTGTTGTTTTATTATTAATGGGGTGAGGACTGTGCACAGCCTCCGCCGTTACAGTGGAACAATTACTGTATCTTTTATTAAGCCATTGGTGCAAATCCTGAAGTTCTGTTAACAGACTTCCTATGAGGTCTTGGCTAAGTCTTTGTGCTTATTCACTGTATCTAAAATAGAGGTCCTTGTTCCTCATAAAGACAGAGGAACTAATCCTATCTGAATTGTGCACAGGCAGTCATGTCGCATGTCATACTGGAATTGCAAGTGAGCATTCTGTGTATCTCTGTGAAGTCATGTTTCATATGGACAACTTCCATGCTGACATACGCATTCATTAGCTGTGCAGAGTTAAAGCTGACGATATTTACAGTCTAATACTCCTTTTACACAAAATCAACTTGAAAATGTTATTACACTTTAAAAGTCCTAATTGATGTCGTTTGTTATAAGTGAAATATTCTGATATTCAGATCGTTCTGTTTGTTTTCTTCATTTTGTAGCTCATCAAAAGGTCTTATTGCATTATAAACCGAACTAAATCTAAGTTTAGTGTGTGCTAGAGCCTGCAGTGCAACGTTAATGATGCAGCAGTATGGACTGGCACCAGGAGTGGGGAGACTGGCTGCTGCGCTTGCGTCCCGCTGCTATTTCTGGCACGCAGAGGCTGCGCGGTGTGGGATGGGTCAAACGTAAGTCCTCAGAGGTTGCCGTGTCTTCCCCGCACTCTGACATTCATTCTGTCTGTCACATGCCTCCTGATACGTGGCTTTCTAATTTCTAATACACCCTCATCACCAGTGGAGCAACTGAAAACAAGTTACTGTATACTAAGACCTCTGTGTCTGCTTTCACAAGAGGGAAGGGTGACTAGACGTGCATTCAGGCTTCACCCGTGTTGTTAAAGTGCCTAAGCCTGGTATTTCTTTGACAGCAACACCTAAATGGCTTGGCATCCTGTAGACACCCTCTGAGAAGAGACTCCCTGTCCGCAGGAGCTTGCAGTCTAAACAGATAAGGCAGACAGAAGGGGAAACACAAAGAGATGGAGAGAATTGCCCAAGCCACTTAGCATGTCTAGCAGCAGGACTGGGAATAGGGACAGGTCTTCTGGGTTCTCACCACTGTCATCACCGCTGATTTGGGATTCCTCCGGCTGGCTCTGCACCAGCTCCTGCCTGTCCCTGTGCAGGGATAGGTGGTTTGGGCCCACCAACTAGCTATAGAAAACATTTTGATGTCCTACCTTTTGGTTTAGTTCTCCAGCAGTGGCTGAAACAAGTATCTTCTTCTTGAGAGAGAGAGATGCCCTCATGTGCTGTTTGTTGATTTATAATTGTGCCAACTGCAGGCTGGAGAATCAGAAAACCTGAAACCCCAAAACATGCCTTTATCTTTTGAATAATTCTGCCCTCTCTTTAAATAGAGTCAGTGCTGGTGAAAAGGGCTAAAGAGTAACAGGAGGTCGAGGGGATGACTGTTCTTTGAGGTTCTTCAGGTCCCTGTAGGCTCTCAAGGCTCTTTACCAACATTAATTAATACTCAGATTCACAATTCCTTTCTTGAGTGCAATAGTTCTGTTACCTGTTTTATGCAGAAAAGAACTGGAAATAGAGTGCAGGAATAAGGGTCCACAGTGAACTCATGAAGGAGATGAGCACGGACCTGCAGACTGCAGGCAGCAGCTCTCCAGTCTCTGAATTACAATCTCTGTTTTACACAGTGACCCCACCACTTCTTTCCTATTGGAACAGAATTCATTCTAGCTCTTAGTTGCATGGATTTCTAGTTTTAATTTAAATTTCTACTTTTCCTGCCAGGCCAGGTTCCCAAATATCCCTATACTTTATGCATGTTTGGAGTCCAGGTTCAGCAGTTTAGATTCTAATTGAACAGCCTCAACACGTATTATTTATATTGGCTTTTTCAGAATAAGAAAAAACCCCTTGATTGAGACACACCATCTTTTTTCATACAATGATTCTATTGAAATTTCAAGTCCATTTAAAGAAAGCATTAAATGTTGACCAGCCAGAAAGTTTTTGTAGCAACCTTGTAGGTTAGCGTATTAATATAGCTCCAAGTAAGTGAAATGCTTCAAAGTTTGTCAGTATGAAGCCTCAGATCTTAAGAAATTATGTCACAAGCTAAAACCAGGTTAGATTTATCTGAAATTTTAGTGAGGTTCTTGGAGCTGTACTTATGTTTTAAGTGAATTGATATTTGAAACTTCTGGTGAACCCAAACCCACGTGAAATATGAGGGTTTTCAGGTGCTTTATGTGATATGGAAATGGAAAATCATGCAAGAGTAAATGTAATACTTTTTTTTGCATGACTTCACCCACATAACTTCGAGTTTCACCTTGAGTTTCTGAGTTCAGTTAAAGCCGGTTTGTATAGGAGAGCTCATGGATAAGGACAGATTGTTAACTTCCCATAGGCAAAGCACACATAACTCTCGGTACTGCGTTCCCACTTCTCATATTCTTTCTTTGATATGGGATGAATTCATTTCTGTAACCTTTCTTTTCAAATCCCTCTGTTACATCAGCTGACCTTTTGTCAAACTCTTCCCATTTCCCTAAACTCGGTTGTCAGTAAGGGCACGGAATGGTGCAGTATTCCAGGGCTTTCCACCAGGCCCTGCTCACCAGGAGGTGAACAGCCCTGCCTCAGTTCGCTTTTTGCTGCCTTTACCCACCTTGGGATTGAATTGGTTTATGGCTTTCTCACCTTACTATTCGAAGTGTTCATCATTATCCAGGGATTGATATAGTTGGAGCTCAAAGATCTCTGAGGAACCCATTAACAGAACCGGGGGATGGAGAGAAAACACAACAGCCACTTTTTAAGCTGTGGTGCTGTCAGGGTAGTGCATGGGTGAGGTAATTTGCTAACGTATGCCCTGTTGGCTTGGGAGGTGAAAGTTGGTGGGTGAGGCAGGTTAAAAGGAATTGCTGGTGATGAAAGGGAATTTACGTGACCTTCAACCACACTCCATCCTCTCTGTTAACTAACAGGGTAGCAGATGTGGATAACAAAAGTAATATGGACATAGCAGCTTGCTTCTGAGGACCTCCAAACACTCCAAGGACACGGTAAGCATTGTCATGATGGTTGAGTATTACGGGGAAGCAAGGCAGAATCATAGAATCATAGAATAGTTAGGGTTGGAAAGGACCTTAAGATCATCCAGTTCCAACCCTCCTGCCGTGGGCAGGGTCACCTCGCACTAAACCATGCCACCCAAGGCTCCATCCAGCCTGGCCTTGAACACTGCCAGAGATGGAGCATTGCCCACTCCTTGGGCAACCCATTCCAGTTGCATCATCACCTTCACAGTAAGGAACTTCTGCCTTATATCTAACTTAAACTACCCCTGTTTAAGTGTGACCCCATCTGTATAGTTTGTTTTGATACTGACTTGTCTCAAAAAGGCCTTAAGGTTTTATAGTCAATACTTAAGTCCCTAAAGCATCCTCTCTGGCTGAGGATCCCTTCACCTATGTGTCTTCTTCTTTGAACTGCTAATTCCAGCTGGTGTCAGTAAAAGCAGTGTGTCTTTACTCTGCTTTCTGCTGTAACTGTGCACCTACCAAGGTCTCCTCTTCCTTCCAACCTCTCCCTCTGATTAAATTCACTCTTCCTTTCTGTTTTCCAGCTTCACCCCGAAAACTTCCTCTCACTCCATTTTTGCAAGAACCTTTCCTGCAAAACAGGTCCCTGATAAGGTTGGTGAAGGGGTTTCCAGTTTATTTATGCTCACCTTGGCATGGTAGCAGCCAAACATGACAACTTACTGGATTGTTAAACAGCTTCAGTCTTCTGGTGCAGTTCAGAGTAGACAAGTGGGTACCTCACAGCTGCTCTGGACTGATCCCCAATTCGGGTGGTGTTATTATTCCTTCTTAATCTCTCCACACCGGTAATATGAACAGGCATGCTTAGGACTAAAAGGACTGCAGAGACTTGGCCCCTTTTTTAGCTATGAGAACAATTTCCAGGCCTCTTTCAGTTGTGCTTATTTCAGTCCAAAAGACAAAAACCGGAACAAAAGAGAAATAGGAGGAGTTGCGGAAACCCCTCAAACTTTCTCTGCTGAGATTAGATTCCTGGTGGTGACAGTGCCTCGCCATGCTGCCATTGGTGTTTCCTTCTGCCGTGCCTGGCACGAACGATCCCAAAGCAGCAAGCTGAGTTAAAATACATGGCTGTGATCAAAAGAGGATGACACCTCTATTTTTTTCATGCCACCCTGGAGGCCCTTAGGTTTGGAATTTGAGTCTTTGAACAACAAGGTTACTGGACTCTAGTAAATGAAGTGTCCGGATGTTAGTGATGATTCATAAAAGCAATTAAAAAAGGAAAGTGCTTTTCCGCTGGGTGTAATGTCTTGGTTTGACGATGTCCTTAAAGTGTGTGTGTAATGCTGCACATGCTGGTCAGTGGATAGTGACCGCTGTGTTTAAGATTATGGATCTGTTTCCAGCCTAATGCTTTTCACATGGTTCCCATGACCAAAACTGGTTTTTTAGTAGTTGAATCTCTCTCATTTATTTTCTATTTCAAAGTAATTCCCATCTCTTCCTTCTTAAATTTGGAGGGGGGAGAAATCTACTGAGGATGTAACATTTTCCATGGGAGAAATGTGGGGCTTGCAACGTAAATATTGGAGATGGCAGATAACAGAAATTCATTCATTTCCCCCCCCCCCCCCCAGCACTACTTGCTTGCATTTCAGCCCTGGCCCTCCACAAGCACGAACCGCCTCATTTGTACAGCTTTCAAAGCGATTTTCAATGAGCAAGACTGAACTCGGTTAAAACATGATTAGGGTTATTGTTGTATATAAAGATCCATCAGCCCAGCCACATTACCTAAGCAAGAAGTAGACCCTGAGGCACACTCTACAAGCTTCTTCCTACATGGCTTTTCAAGTCGTCTCAACCAACCTGTTAGCATTTAGTGATGGCTCTTAGGCTCTGCTCTTGCAGAGCAGACAGTTCCAGTCTTACTGCCTTCTCCAAGGGGATGCCTCTCACTTCTCTTGTGCATATTCCAGAGTTGGGGCTTCAATTTGCTTTGCCCTCACGTCCTGCCCTTGGTTATCCCATGCATGTATGCTACGGGAAGCAAAGTAGTTTACTGATTTATCATGGATCATTAGATGGAGTAACTATTCTTAAAACATCACCAGTATAGATACAATAATTAGAGTTGTGCTTTTGTTAACATCACAAGCCTCTACCCTCTTGTACAGTACCCTTGGGTACTACATAATTACCCACTTTGTGTGGTTATCTAGCTCACTAATTACCCACAAAAATTGGGGTCAGGTGTTAACTGCTTGAAATAAGTATCCTCCACAGACTTGGTGGAATTGTGTAAAGAAATCATCTGTTTGCAACAAAACTTTATCAAAAAAATGAAATTCGGACATTTTTGGGAAGGAAGAGAAGGGAAGGCAAAAAAAGACAACAGAGATACATTGGTCTGTGCAATGGCAAAATCTTGCATGCTGCTGTGATGATGGTGAGGGAGTGAAAGGATGCTTGGCAGATACAGGGTCCCTAATCCAGTCTACTTTTCCCAAAGATTAGATCCTTCACTACACAGGGTTTGACTCTTCCCCTATCTGGGTTGATGTCAGTCAGGATTATGTCGGTATAAATCAGAAAATTTGTATCCATGGACTGACTTCACCGCATAATCCCACCTCTTCCATCACCCAGGGACTTCTGCACTGCACCCAGTAATTTGACTGCCTTGTATATGTGTTTCCATACATTTCAGCTGTTCCATACTCCATGTGCATGCAGGACTCCATCCTAAGGCTGCTGCTCATAAAATGTAGCTTGCTTTGAGTAATAATTTAATTCCTGTGTTCAGGGAGTTACCCCAGTGAGTCAAAGCTTGCTAGATAGCCCCACCCTCCCCAACTTCCCGAACACTTCGGCTGCAGTCCCTTTCTCTTTGCCAGACCCACACAAGATGCCTAACTAGCCAGAATCCCAAGAGGCAGCTGCTCCTGCCTCCCCGTTTTAGCCCCCAAACCCAGGGAATAAAGCCCTAAAGCCCTTGAAATACCAGGCACGTGTAACAGAGGGATATTTAATAGACTGTCTTCCTAACCTGCTTTCTTGCATAGGTGCTCTCTGCCTTCAATACAAAGGAAACATTTCAGTGGGAGCTGAGGTGTTTCTGCAAATCCCACTATGCACCCATCAGGGTATGTGGATACAAGGATACCTTTAAGCCCTAAGCATCTTTGCAGTGCCCAGCATAACAAAGAAACTGCCTTCTTTATTTATGTCTGTATTTTGCGCTAGGTGCTTCCTCCCTGCAGCGAGTACCACCTTCTGTTCCCACAAGCACCTTTTGAAACCTGTGTGGAGTCAGGTATTAGGCATCACCAACCCCACTGAGGGGGCAAGAATGGGTCTCAGGTAAGGCCCCGCATGGCGAGGTGGGTGCTGGGTCTTTAGGGGCCATACCTGCTCTCCGCATTGTGTAGCGCATCTCTGGAAAACGCAGGGATCAGCCTCATAAAGCACAATGCAGATTTAGTCGTCATCTTTGTGTCTCTTCCCCCCCCCCCCGCTCTGCTCCCCGCTGATGTTAACTGTCTGTATTATTATTTATTGTTATCAAGGGATTTGGTTTGATCAATGAAGTGTATATGCGTCTGACGGACATTCGGAGAGGAAATGCTTGGAGAATGAGTAACATGTCTGCAGTGGAGGGTGTGTGTGAGGGAGAGAGGGAGCATCGGTACTAGAAACATTGACTGATGAGTTCATTTTAAAATCCAAGGGCATATAGCTGGTAAATTAGCACATATTGCAAATATAGTCTGGTGTGAGAGGCAGCAGTGCTGCCATTGAGCAGAGGGGTGGGTGTGTGTGTAGGAAAGGGGGGGGTGTGGGGGTCGAGGAGAGGAGGTTGTCAGCTCTAAAGTCATCACGGGCATGAGCCAGGCAGTCTGCCTGCTTCAATGCAGACGTGGGGCGTGCGATTTCCACGGGCGGCTGCGGGCTGCAGTGTGGCGGGGGGGGGGAATACAGGGATGGGGGGGAACCGAGCTATAGCAGCGGTGGATTTTATTGTTTTAAAGCCCAGATCCAGCCAGAGGGATGCCAGGCGAAGGGCTGCAGCCCCAACACTTCCCCCTCCTTCCATCTCCTCCCCTCCCGGACGTCTTTAGGAAGGCGGGAGCGGGTGCCCGGCTGCCCGGGAAGATCCCGGGGCCGCAAGGACGGGAACCGGGATGCGGCCGCGGCGACGGGTTTCTCCCTGGAGCTTAAGAGATTATTGGGGAGGGGAGGCTGGGGCTGGTGTGTGTGTGTATATGTGTGTGTATGTGTGTGTGTATGTGTGTGTATATGTGTGTGTGTGTGTGAGAGAGAGGCTGGCGGCGGCGGCGGGGGGAGCCGAGTCCTTATTCTGTTAAAGATTTAAGTAGGCATGCAAGGAATCTCTAGGATAGTTGGCAAAGGGCGAGGGTGGGGAGGGGGGGGGGAAGGATCCAAAAGAGTCTGTAACCAGACACTGAAGCTTTCCAGGAGTGAGAGTGTGTGAGAGAGACGGAGACAGAGCGAGAGGAAGAGAGGGGGCAGTGTGGTCTAGTACATTTTCATCTGGTCGTTGATTTGAGCCTGATGCTTGCTGTCCCTCAACAGCCTCCCTTGCCTGTATTTTTTCTTTCCCCCCTTTCCTCTCCTTTCCCTTCTACTTCATCGAAGCCTAGGGGAGCCAGTAAAGATTAAATGTGCTTTCGAAAAGGCAGCCACTTCATGCAGCTATGTCTACACCCCCCCCCCCAGCTCCCCCTTTTTGAAATAAAAAAATAGGAAGAAAAGAGGGGGGAGACAGCGAGGGGGAGAAGGAAGGAGGAGGAAGAGGAGGAGGAGGACTATAGTTTAATGATGTCGGGACTGGCTGATCCACAAGGAGGAAAGAGAAGGGGGCAAAAAAAAATAAAAGGGAAAAAAAAAAAAAGGAAAAGATTTGAGCTCCTGGACGAGGAAGGACTTTGGTGAATGGGCTCAGACTCCCGAGGTGAGAAAAGGACGGAGTGAGTGATGATGATGATGATGGTTCCGTAATGGTGCCTGTTACCGCTGCTCCCCCGGCCGTGCGGTGGCGGGGAGCGTCGGGTGCGGGGCCGGGAATGGGGGGGGGACACGGGACGGGGCCGGGAGCGGGACCTGCTTTGGCAGCGCCGGACGAGGAGCGGCGGATATTTTGCATTTTTCAACTCGGGCCCTCCGGAACGTTTCGGCTTCACCCTGCGGGTGCCGCTGGGCCTAAAGCGGTTCCAGAGATGGGTGGAGGGTGCGGATCCGTATTATTTATTTGGGCGGGGGGTAAGGGGGGGGGGGGGGTGGTGGAAAGAGGGAGGAAAAGGGAGGGAGGGAGGGAAGGGGAGAGAAGAGCGGAGAAGGAGGTGGCAAGCTGGGGACGAAATCCTGCTCTCGGTTATGGCCGGCGTAAATTTCCATTGGCTGGGGTTGCACAAGGTGCTTTGGAGAGGAGCCGGTGCAGGATGGAGTCCCTTTTGTGTGTGTGTGTGTACGTGTGTGTGTGTGTGTGCACGGTGCTCGGGGACCCTCCTCTCCCGGGGAAGCGGGTTTTTCCTCCAGGTTTTCCTCGGCAGCCCCGGCCCGGCAGCGGCTGCCAGGAGCTGGTGACCGCGCTCCGCCACCGGCTCCGGGCTGCCCCCCGCTGCTACCGGAGCAGGAGCGGGCCAGGGCTCCAACACCTCCCCCCCCCCCCACGTCTCTTCATCATCATCATCATCATCATAATAATAATAACAGCAGCAGCAGCATTGGTGGGAGCGCGGAGGGAGGAGGCGAAGGGGCTGCGGAGGAATTTGGGTCCTTTTCCTTCCCCCCCCCCCCCTTTTTTTTTTTCCTTGATATATTCCCTTAAAAAAAAAAAAGGAAAAAAAAAAGGAAAAAAAAAAAAAAGAAAGAAGATGTTTTAAAAATGCAAGCGGCTTGCCCAGCTGCACACACCCACCCTCGCCTCCCTCCCCCGGCTTGCGCACACCGCACGCTCGCACTCGCTCGCTCCACCGCGCTCGCTCGGGTGTCAAAACCCGGCGGGCACCCAGCCTGCTGCGGGCACTGCCCCTGCCCCTTCCCCTGCCCTGAGCCCGCCCGGGGGCCGCCGCTTCCCGCTACCAATACCCCCCCCACACCCCCCACCCCCCCCCCCCCCGGTCCTTCTTCCGCCTCCCCACCGCCGCGCTTTTCCCCCTTGCTCTCGGCGCTGGAGATCGGAGCTTCCCCCGCTTCCAAATGGTGAGTTTCTACCTGATTTTCTTGCAACTCGGGGTTTTTTTTTCCTCCATCCCTGCCGGCCGCGGGGCTGGCGGAGGGGGCGGGGAGGCAGCGCCTTTATGCTGCTGCATGCTTTGTGCCAGGCGGCTGCAGGGAGAGCCTGCATATTCCTGCTCTTATTTCTGCATTCCTTTTCGTTGAAACAATGAAAATAATTCCGTCACTGCCCCAAACTTCCCTTTTCTTTCCCTTCCTCTTCGTTATCCCAATGCGGAGGCTTTTCATGTATTTGTCGCAAGCGACCTTGTTGGAAGCTGTAAGGAACCTGCCGCGCCTTGTCATTTTTTTTGTATAAACGATTAAAAATGGAATGCATTCTCTCAACAGAGGGTCCTTAGAGAAGCTCTTTCCTTCCACCTGTGTGTCCTGTTTTGTAATCTTGAGCCAGGAATTGAACTTGCCTGCTCTTCTTTCCCTCTTTCTCCTTTTTATCTTTTGATTATTTTTTTTTTTTGGATCCCTGTGGGGTTTTTATTATTATGGTTATTATTATTTTGATTTTAATTTTAATTTATATATATTTTTTCTTTGCAAGGAATAGTTTGTTGCGCCCCTCTCAATCCCTGAGACCCTAACTTGTGATGTTTAGCTTTTAAATCCACGGGTTAGGCTCTTGGGAGCTGTGAGTTGTGCTTTGACATCTTCATTTTATAAGTATATCCTCTCTATATATATGTCTATGTGTGTGCGCGCGTGTGTGTATATATAGACCTATACACACACATATAATAGTGTTTAGTAGACCTTTTAAGGGAAAAAAAGAAGGGTATCTCTCCTCCTTAGGGCTGATCGGCTAATGGTAGGGCGGTGGTTGTGGCCATTTACTGTAAAAATCTCATCTCAAATTCAAGCTAGCGTTTGCATGACAGAGATTTTGTGTGTGTGTGTAGAGTCAAGCGATAATTTTACAGCTGATACCGATATGGGGGTGTATGTGTGTACACATATAGTGATTATTATATATGCGTGTGTAGATAAGATATACGCGATACGGACGCATGGAAATACAGCTATTGAGGTGTGTGTATAGCTACACATACGAATGATACGTGTGTATGAATATGTATGTAGGTAAATAAAACCCTGGATATGTATATCTATTTACATATGTAGGTATATTAATATACATGCCTCTGTTTTCATACGGAGAGAGATTTGCCTTGCCTGCAGGCCACTGCATAGAGCATCTCTCTCCTCTTTTTTTTTGCTTCTCCCCCCCTCCTTCTTGAGAGCAACACAGAGTACCCTGAGAGCGTAACAGTAACAGCTCGGTACATTGGTGCTTGACCTCAGCTGAAATCCCAGCATGCCTCGTGCTTCCAAGTTTAAAACTGAACGATTAATCTTAGAAATGTGCTCTATGGACACACACATGCGAAAAAAATAAAGGGGAAAAATGGGGGAAAGGGAAAATGAAATAAAAGACAAAAAAGGCAGGAGCCGGGTTGGATTTTATGGACCGACAGGTCCAAAATAAACTGCAGAAATAAAATGGTTGCATGTACTAATGGTTGGAAACTGCTGAAAAGAAACGCTGAGTGAATGCTGAAGTTTTCAGTCCTCCTCTAGAGCTTCAACCTTTCCTGCTTTTCCACTCCACGTTCTATGTAAATGGCAAATCAGAAATGTTCAAACTGTTTTCCTGCTGCTGTGTTTATTAGATTTTTATATTGCTGTAAAATGAATTATGGTTGGAACTGTATTTCTTATCTCTGTTCTGCAAAGGCAATTTATAATGGAGTTACTGTACCTTGTTACGGCACTGAATTACTGTTTGATATTTGAATGCAAATGCTTGAACTTAAGACACAATGCACCAAAAACGGTGTAGCGTTTGGGGATCTAAGAGCTTAGGATGTGTTGGATGGTTCCCGTTGTTTAATAGTTATTGAACTGGAAAAGGTTGCTTGATTTTGTTTTTAGCTTTTTTTATTGACACTGTAATTTCATTGACTATTTTACCTCCACGAAAAAAAAGCCAGCAACGCCTTTTACTTCTGAATTTGTACATTATTCTGCACGCCCTCTAATTCCGAAGGGAGAAACTTAATTCTGCATTGCCTTTATTTTCTGTTACCTGTCTGGCATGAGAAATCAGAACACGGTACGGGAGAACCCAACCACCTTTGTCCAGCCGCATCTCCACCTCGGAGACAGCCAAAAACTACTCCCCCCCCCCTTTTTTTCCCCCTGCTTTTAATCGCGGCCCCCCCCC